ATTGGGCCATGACGACCATGAAACCTTGGAGCCGTCGACACTGGCCAATCGTGGCAAAATAGGGGATGGATGATGATGATGATTAATTGATTGAATAAGTGAGCGATTGATTGATTGATTGATTGATTGATTGATTATCATGGCCAGCCGCTGCTTACTCGATTGTGTGTAGTATACACGTGTGTGTGTGTGTGTGTGTGTGTGTGTGTATGCATAGTACTTACGTATATCGAGTACGAAGTAAGTTTGTATGTCTACCGGGAACATGGATGTGTAGATATGTAACATACCTGTATGTATATGTATATGTATACAAGGACAGGACGGTTGTCCATGGTCATTGATTGGACGACCTGGGGGGAGGGGTGGGCAGGATGTAGATAGCAGTTTAGGAGTACAGCTATATGGAAAGTCAGTATACTTACCTACATAATGCCACTACCCGGGCAGCGTCGCATGCTATCGTCCATGGCCCACCCGCATAAACGACAGACGTCAAAAGGAGCATGGCCCGGCGAGGGCGTGAAGGGCTGATGCACGATGCGGAACAGCTAGCGCGTCGAGCTTGCGACACCACACGGCTCAAAGGCTTATTCGTAATAGCTGATAGAGCACCTCTAAATAACGAGGCGCGCTAGGCCCCACCGGGACTCACAGCCAGCCAATAATGAATAAGCCTGTGCTAATTATTTCACCTGTCCTAATTCTCTCCCTAACTTTGCTTTTCCACCCTGGCCGCGCCGTATACGCACGCTCTCTCTCCCCTTCTTTGCCTTTTCCTGGCCCTGGCCGCCGCCGCCAATCCCACTCGCTGCTTTCCCACACTCATTCAACACCTGATCCCACCCTTCCATTGTACCCGTCCATTGACTCTTCTTCTTCTTTCACTCGCACACCCTCCTGTAGCAGCGCCGCCACCTACCTCTCTGGCCGCACTGCGCATTTGGCGCTCACCACACCATCATCCTCTCGACGCTTGTGCTTGACCATCCATCATCCCCTTGCCCGCCTTTGGTAATCACTATAGAAGCATTCCTGGCTCCCACGGTGTATTACTCCGCTTACCTGCAGTTGGCGAGCAACAAGCGCAAGATCCTCGTCGCCTTGCCTATACTGTGGCTCGGAGATCTATCCTTTCGGTCCGTCTCAATGGGCTGGCTACGGCAAGCACAAGACAGTTTCGTATTAGTGAGACTACTCCAGACAGCATGAGCACCCAACAACATCACCGCTCTGCGTCTCACACTGCATCCATTGTGCATGGAAATGCCGACCAGTTTAGAGTTCAGCAGTCGGCACCGCCCTTTGCCCAAAGTGCTGCTAGACCCCCGCCACCACCTGCTTCGCTCCCCAGCATCGCTCGATCGACAAAGGGCTACTGCCGGCACTGCCGCTCCCACGTAGGCGACTTCTACAACTCGTGGAGTCGAATCACTGCAACCCTTCATGTCCCTGTCCTGCTCGGTTCCTACTCGTCTCGCCTGAAAAGTGTTGGCAACCCAGAGCCTGCATTCAAGAGCACGGCGCTCCATGGATGGTAAGCTTATTAGCCCTCGCCTGCCTTTTCTCCCTTCGCACCTTTTCCCCTTTTGGTAGCAGTCAGCCATCTCATCATCAGGCGCCCTTCGATATACGTTGTCGCCTCCCGGTATAGTTCAGTGACATGGTATTTTAATTTTCTTCCTTCTCTTTCCTAAGCACACTTGCGCTAGTGCGTTCCAAACAATTTCCACACTATACGTTTTTCATCTATTAAACCCGCCAGCCCGCTACCTGCCTCCCCACGTTCCGCATTACTGCCGTTCCGTTGATGTCCGTACATTTTGTCTACCTATTAGCTGACTCCCTGACAGCATCATCCAGCCTTTGTCCTGCCCACACCCTGGCTGCCGCGAGACATCAATTGGTTTCACGGTCATCACTACGCCTGCCGGAAAAGGGAAATTTCGGTGAGTCACATCCCCTTGCATCGCTCCCCGAGTCTTGTGTTTGCATCTTGCTGTCGATGAGGCCTTGATGACTACTATGCGCTCAAATACAAATAAAGCTTGTTGCTTTGACTTACCTCAGATGGCTAACATTTCATTTCGCGTAGTGGCCGCGATCTCTTTGACCTAGGCCGCATTGAGCTGCAATGTGAGATAGCACCAGGGCAGATCATTGTCATCGAACCGCGTGAAGACACTGCACCAGACCTATTAGCAGCCGAGGAGACGCCTAGTCCTCCTCCTTCATCCACTTTATCTTCTTCTTCACCAAACAACGTTCCCAACCCATCTTGGACCAAAGCCATGGAGGTTGACACACGCATGCCGTCGTTGCACCAATCGGCGTATTCCCATACCCAGATGGGCATACGCCATGATCTCGATCGCGATGCCCCAAAGCAACACCTCATGTATCCCATTGAACACGACAGACAGTCACGAAAACAACTATCGTCATCGATACATTCTCCTCCAGTGACCAACTCCTTGCACAGTGCTGTTCAACCAGCACCAACCAAAAGACCCTCAATTCCATCACCCGCAGCGGAGCCAATACACCACCAGGCTGATTCACCGCAACAAGTATCTGCTATTCACCCCACTGGCGATGTGCGTGAATCTCGGGGTAGTGTATCTAAACCACAGCCTGCCCCCTCAACATCCCAAACAAATGGCCACCAGTACCCTCGCTCACCTGGCGTGGTGAGCATGGACGCTATTGAGCGTTTACAAACACAGATCTCCCAAAACAGCGGCGCCCTAGCTGCTCACACTCGCGATATACGTCGTGGCGAAGAGACCTTTCAACATGTCGAGGAATCCCTTCGTCGTGAGTTTCAGGCCCAGTTGTTCCGTCAGACAGCCGACATTCAAAAAGTGGAAGAGTCTGCGGCACGGCTACAGCACGAAATGCAAGGCATGCGTCACGCAATGGAAGCCATCAGCCGAGAGATGGAGGCTTGGAGAATGGACAAGCAATCACGCAAATCTATCTTTTCCCCAAGCCATCAGATGGCCGCTCAAGACTCGGCGCTCGAACTCATGGCGCAACAAATCGCCGTCATGTCGCACAAGACGAGCGATCTCGACAATCTAAAGCTCCACATTGAAATAATGAAGAACAAGATCTACCGGCTCGAGGAAGGTGCCAAGGCAGCATCATCGCAGCCGCCATCGCACACATTCCAGCTTCCACGTGAGGCGGCAGTTGCAACTATCCCATCAACTCATGCCGCAGTGTCATCCCACCCCACTACTCCAACAATTCCACAAGCCAGCGATGCATCCCGCCGAGCCTCGAATGACCAGCATCACCAGCCGTCGTTTGTACAGCCGGCACCCAAGCCTGTGGTGGAAGCCACACCGAGAACTGAGCTTGTGCCTAGTCAGAGCAGCGGATGGACGACCGTCAATGCTGGAGTGAAGCGAAGTTCCCAAAGCGGTATGGACAGTCCCCAGGAGAGCACCATGCATGGGCCAAGTTCCCCAAAGCGGGCAAAGCTGGGCGAAGCTGAGCCATTCCCTGGCTACACTGCCGCACAACCACCACCTAGTCGAGCCACAGTCGAGCCGACAGACGTTCGACTTTCAACGCCTGCCCATGCGATTACATCTCAAAATCCCGTAGCTGACCAGGCCCCCTCGTCTCAATCGCAGCAGCAACCTTCCTATTCCCCATATACCCCGCAGTATGCGCCGTCAGACGATAGCTGGCGGCCCGATTCTCAACGTATGATGGGATATCGACCTCGTGGGCGGGGGCGTGGCGGTGGAGGACCCGGCAGTCGGGGTGGTAGAGTTCGAAAGGGCGTGATTGCCCAGCCTCATGGTACCTTTGCAACACCAGAATGGGAATCGGATGAGTGGCAGAGCCTTCGCAGCTCACAAGGTAGTCCGGAAGACTTTCACAACCACATGGCACGCTCCGGTCGTGGCGGCATAGCGCGCCGTGGCAGTGGTGGCGCACGCGGAGGCTACATAACAAACGATCGCACCTCAAGCCTCGGCTTACAAGGGGTGACGTCTGGCATCAGCTTTGGACCGCCTGGTGAGGTGTACGGTTCTGCAAAGAGGACTCGTACGAAGCCGGTGCGAAATGCAGATGGTGTGCTTATCCGAAAGGATGGCCGTCCTGATATGCGTTCGCAATCGTCAGCCGCCAATCTGCGCAAGGTTCATGCCCGCAAGGAAAATGAATCCAGCCACTCCCCTACACCCACAAACATCCAATACGCGAGGCCGGTCAGTGCGGCTGACACACCTAGCCCTACTGGGCTTGCAGCACCCCCGAATGCGGCCGATAAGCACAAGGCGATCATGGGCAAGATCTTCCCCGAAGGTTTGGATGCATCCCGCAAGCAACATGACTATGCTAGCCAGGTGTTTTCGGAAGAATGCGATCATACTGTTCATTCGCGTTCACATGGCCACCGCTCTGCAGCCAAGACGGACAAGTCCGTCAAGAAGGAGCAAAGTGAAAATGATGCGAGTCCTAGGCAAAAACAAAGCCCACAGAAACAAGATGTAAACATGGATAGGGCTGATAGTCATGCTGCTGATGAGGAGGAGCACGAGCACGAGGAGCATGAAGATGAAGAGGAGGAATACGAAGAAGGGCACGAAGAGGAAGAAGAGGAAGAAGAGGAAGAGGATGAAAGGCAGGCTCCCGAGCAATATGGTGAGCATGTCAAAGCACATGGAGAGACTGCGACAAAACAAGCAGAAGATGGGAATGCTACTGCTGCTGTTGTTGGCTCGAGGGCTGGCTCGGAAAACCGGGCAGTGGAGAGCTCAGTGGCCAATGACGATGACTGTATACATGTACAAGCTTAATAGGTTAATTTCTTGCAAAAGAGTAAATGTTACTTGTATGGATTACTTGTCAAGTTGTATTCTTTTATCTTGTCATTGCCGCCATTTGCATATACACGTTGCTGTTCCTATTCTATCCGCATTCATTATTCACATGCTATAAATGTACAAGAAAAATGCCGCACAGCCACTACACTCGCTTTAGTACGGAACCGTAGGAACCTTTTCCGATCCATTCGTTCGCTCCGGGTAAAAAATCGCGCCCTTTGTCTTCGCACAGTTGGTCAGGTAACTCGCCGACGCATTAACAGGAATCGTGTTTCCCTCCTGAGGGCGACCATAGACCTACACACAATCTTCGTTAGCAACCAATCCCACGCAACCCACGCAGAAAAATGTTGAATCGGGAAACTCACATGCTCATAATACCACACCTCATTCAAAACCGTAAATCCCCTATCCGTACTATTCCTCCCAGCAGCCGTCTCATTGAACCTCGGTCCCGAGCACCCCAAAAACGGAACGCCGCCATGCCTCTCTGCCAACACGTCTCTGACCTCCTCGTACGAATACCGCGTCGACCCATTGCACGGCGTAATCCCGGCCTCTTCCAGCCACTCAAACGTCGGAAATCTCTTGTAGTACTTGATCGTCGTCTCGAAGAAATCCACAACGTCCTCGTGCTGGCGGTACAGCGGACCGTAGCACGGAACATTGAAGGTGGAAAAGCACGTGGCGTGCTTTGAGAATTCGTGCGCGTGGAAGCCGGCGTTGTCTTGCTGCCAGGCGACCCAGTACGTGGACATGTATTCTAGCAGGTCGTACCGGCCAAAGGGCTCGAGGAAGGTATCAATGTTGGGTCCGGTGTATGGTAGAACGGCTGTTCCATTGGGCAGACCGTTGGTCGTGTTTGGTGAAGGGATAGGATCGTACTGGCGATTCAAGTCGCAGTATTGGGTGTAGCTTCCGTTGCAAAAGTCGGGCCAGAGACCGTGGAGGGTCCAGGTGTCTTTGGGGAGGTATTGGCCGGTGGATTCGAGGCCCGTGTAGGTGTTCCAGAATTGGGTGCTGAGGAGGAGGCCGCCGAAGGTTTCGGTGCAGCAGGAATCTACCTTGGAGGCGTCTTGGGAGGGACAGGATAGGAGGGGTTGTTGGAGTTGGCAGGTGTGATTGAGGGGGGATTGGAGGGGGTAAAGTTGGGCGGTTGATGATGCAGTGAGGAGGGTTAGGACGAGGGCCCTGGGGATGTGTTCCTTCATCTTGGTATGGTGTTGAAGGGAAATTGATTGATGAGGTGCAACGCAGATAATGTCTACAACTGGGGAACCACGGCTCTTATTATATTCTCTAAAAAAAATTGGCCACAGCCCTTACTAGTACGTATGTAAACGTATTGCCCGCTGCGGCTCCAGGTCGAAAAAAATCAGTCTTTGCCTTTTCTAGAAGGTAAGTAGTCCCGCGGTTGCAAGGTACGAAGGCCGGGCGTCGGCCATGAGCGAAAGGTGGGTAAAGTGAGGTACCTGCGTGTAAGCTAGACGGGCTCACGTGTGCGTGCCATTGGACGATAAGAGAAGCACGCCCCCAAGCCACCGTAGGAATGCTTGTCTCGACACGCTCTCAGCTCCGGGGCTAGACATGCTCGAGAACGTAGGTGTGAAAACGACCCATTGCGAATTGAACCGAGCATGAAGTCATCATCGGTTTGTGGGGTGGTTGGTTAGAAGCTCTTTGATCTGGCGCAGTTCTGGCTGCGTTGTTGTTCGGCGGGACAACTTTCTCTCCGATGGACTATCTCCGCGTTGCGCAGCTCCGTCATACACTTGCTATAACATCATGACTTGCAGCGTCGCAACCATGCGCAGGTATTCACAGTTTTCAGAGTGCTCAAGCGATTCCTTGGGAACAGTAGAGTGCCAGAAATGTCTCCTACATCCACCATAACAGCCCTCGCGCCGCATACACCAGACGCATACACAACCGCCCACCACATCGGCAATCCACCAACATCCTTCAAAAACCCATGGCCCTCTTACAAACCCAGCGGCATAGCCACCGCCGTACGCGCCCGATTCACAACCCCCAAAAACTTCGTCCCGGTACCCAGCGACCGCGCCGGCCTCGTCCTCGTCCGCAAGCCCGACTTCACCACTACCCGCAACGGCCTCAAAGCCACATGGATCGGCCACGCAAGTTTCCTGCTCGAAACAACCCGTTCCGCCTCTAGCGAACGCGGCATGCGCCTCCTCGTCGACCCCGTCTGGAGCGAGCGCGTAGGCCCTTACGGCATGGTTGGCCCTGTCCGCTTCACACCACCGCCCTGCACTATCGACGACCTCCCTCACATCGACGCCGTATGCATAAGCCACGACCACTACGACCACCTCGACTCCGACACGCTGCGCAAGCTCAACACGAAGCAAAACGGCGACTTGCGCATATTCTGCGGGCTAAACGTCAAGTCCGTGATTACAGGCCTTGGTGCTGGCATCACTGCAGAGCAAGTCACGGAACTCGACTGGTGGGACGGCGTGACGCTCTCAACGCAAGGCGTTGGGAGCGTAGATATAATATGCACGCCCGCGCAACACCGCTCTGGTCGCGCGCCCTGGAATTTCGATGCAACGCTTTGGTGTAGCTGGGTAATTCGCGAGTCTTCTTCTTCTTCCTCGCCAATAGCAGGAGCCAAGTCGCTCTTCTTCGCGGGCGACACGGGATACTGTCATGTCAGTTCTGATGATCAATACTCGCACCACGACGCCCCGCATCCTCCGTGCCCCGCTTTCAAAGATATAGGGAACCTGTACGGTCCCTTTGATCTCGCATTGTTACCGGTGGGGTGCTTCATGCCGCGCTCGGTGCTATCGGGCCAGCATTCTAGTCCGGAAGATTCAGTGGCGATACATAGGGATGTGAGGAGTAAGAGGAGTGTGGGCATGCATTTTGGCACGTTTAGAGGTGGGTTTTCGGTCAATTATGAGCCGGTTACTGAGCCGCCAGAGCGCTGGCGGAAATGTGCAGAGGCGGAGGGGTTGGAGTGGGGGGTCGAGATTGGGCTGTGTGATGTTGGGGAGACAGTAGTAGTGGAGTGAGCATTTGCTGCTTATAATGCTGATAATCAATGCGATAATGTGACGTAAATGCATTGAGGAGTATTGGTGCTTTGGTAATTCACTTTGTGGGTAGCAACAAACCAAAAACGCAAGAGGATAGACAGACATGATTCGGAATGATGCATTACAACTCTATCATCTAAGTGGCGGTAAAGCGCCTTCGTGACTACTCGTACAGCGCCAGCCCTAGCTCTCAACCTACAAGTGGAGAGCCACTTGCGACAGACAACGAACGTCTAGTTGTACTGCATGTACGTGGCAGTCGAGTTGAACTTGAGGTTGCCCTTGATGACCTTGTCAACGGCAGCCAAAAAGTCCTTCTCAGTTGCAACCTTTCTCCTCGCTCGGATGGCAAACATGCCGGCCTCTGTCGCCACACTCCTCAACTCGGCACCTGTGCTGTTAGGGCAGAGACGGGAAATGAGCTCCCAACGAATGTCACGCTCTACGCTCATACTCTTGGCGTGGATACGGAGAATGTTGGCACGACCTTCCATGTCTGGTAGCGAGAACTCAATCTTTCGGTCGATACGCCCGGGACGCATGAGGGCGGGATCAAGAGTGGAAGGTCTGTTTGTGGCGAACATGACTTTGATGTTACCTCGAGCATCGAAACCGTCGAGTTGTGTGATGAGTTCCAACATGGTACGTTGTACTTCGTTATCACCTCCAGCACCGTCGTCGAAACGTGCTCCACCAACAGCATCGATTTCGTCAAAGAAGATGATACACGCCTTCTTTGTTCGCGCCATCTCAAAGAGCTCACGCACCATCCGGGCACCTTCTCCGACATACTTCTGGACAAGCTCTGAACCAATGACACGGATGAAGGTGGCGTCGGTTCGGTTGGCGACTGCTCGGGCGCAAAGCGTCTTTCCGGTTCCTGGTGGGCCGTAGAGTAGAGCACCCTTTGGAGGGTCGATTCCGAGGTTGACGAAGCGTTCTGGTGATAACAGCGGCATCTCTACAACCTCTCGCAGCTTCTCAATCTGCTCCTTGCATCCTCCTACATCTCCGTATGTGACGTCAGGCTTGTCCTCAACTGTCATCATAGTAACCGAAGGATCAATTTTGGGCGGTAGAGGGAGCAGGATCTGGTACTTGTTACGGTCCACACCCACTCGCATACCCTCTTCAATGTCCGTGGGTGAGACGCGCTCTCCCAGGTTGACCACGAACTTGGCGATTTGCTTGACGTTGATGACATATTTGCTCTTTTCTGAGTCTTTCTCGTCCTGTATTATCTTGGTGCATCGTGCGACTTGGAGGGGCTGCTCTTCTTGCATGCGTTGGCGGTCGGCGGCAATGTCCCATAGATGTGGAGGTGCGAGACCGGTATCTGATTCCTGCAGGGATGTGAGCGGGGGGAAGTTAAGGTGGTGATGGGCTAGACTACCTTGACTCCAATCTTCTCATTTATCGTTTGCTGCTTGTCCTTGATCTCCTTCTCCAGCTTCTTCAGCTCGGCGCCATAGGGTGCGGCACCGTATGTCTTCAACACCTGGATGTCTCTGCCATTGCGTCAGCATCTATGCCGGGGAAATAGCACCAGTCAAGCTTACTCATCAGTGAGAGGCGTGATCTTCTTCTCCTCGACCTCGTCGTCGGCAAAGTTCTTCTGGTACTTCTCCCAGGACTGGCCTGTGGCTGAAGGCATGGCTGCGGTGTTGGCGGCGACTGTCGGCGGCCGGTGTGTTGATGGGGCTATGCGGGTGTGCGAGTGTGTGGACGGAGATGAGTCTGACAAGTCTCGGATGAAGAGAGCGACAGTCGGACGAGATGTATTGGTGGTGGGGATCGTGTACGGGCGTGGGTGTTGTGCTATGCAGTGAAGATGGTAGCTGTGGTTGATGCGGCGATGGGCCCGGCGAGTCGGAGCTTGTCACTGTCAGTGCGCTACGTACGTCTATCGCGTTCTCGAAATCTTGTCAGGTTCGCGTCCCCGGCACCCAAAACTTCCCCGCCAACCCACCACGATACCCCTCCTTTGTCTTTGTTTTCTCGAGATTCTCCAAACATGGCTACTCAAGTTGCAAGTGGCGGAGGCGGTGGCGGAAATGCTGCCTTCAAGGTATGGCTGCCTGCACTTAGAGCTCTGAAAACATTGACTGATGGCAAGTACAGGACAAAGAAAAGCCCAGGGCGGTCCGCAGTGCCAATATTATTGCAGCAAGAGGTATGGAAATTTCACCCATGTACTCAGTTCCTCTGAGCTGACTCAAAATTCGTAGCTGTGGCAGATGCGATCCGAACTGTATGTCCCACCACAGAGTGCGGGGAACAAGACGAATACTGATATTTTGGCAGTCTCTGGGACCAAAGGGAATGGACAAGATGGTAATTGGACATACACAGTCTTCAGATAAGTCAATGGCTAACTTGCCACAGATTCAAACCAGCAAAGGCCAGACAATCATCACAAACGACGGAGCCACCATGTTGAACCAAATGAGCGTCATGCACCCGTCGGCCAAGATGCTCGTCGACCTCGCACACGCCCAAGATATCGAGGCTGGAGACGGTACAACATCGGTCGTGGTTATTGCCGGCAGTCTGCTCGGAGCTGCTGAGCGGTTACTGGCCAAGGGCATCCACCCCACAGTCATATCTGAGGCCTTTCAGCGCGCAGCCCAGGAAGCCATATCCATCTTGACCGAAATGGCCATTCCTATTTCTCTCACTGACAGGCAGACTCTCCTCAAGACCGCTACCACCTCCCTCTCCTCCAAGATTGTCGCTCAAGAGCCAAAGCTGCCCATCATGGCCGTCGACTCGGTGCTCAAGGTCATCGACCCCAAGACCGCCGACAACGTAGACCTGAAGAACATCCGCATGATCAAGAAGATGGGCGGTACTATTGAGGATAGTGAGATGATTGACGGGCTAGTTCTCAACCAGCCAGTGGTCAAGAGCGCCGGCGGTCCCACACTCAAGGAAAAGGCAAGGATAGGTCTCATTCAGTTCCAGTTGAGCCCTCCAAAGCCGGACATGGAAAACCAGATTGTTGTCAACGACTACAGGCAAATGGACAAGATCCTCAAGGAGGAGCGAACATATCTGCTGAACATGGTCAAGAAGATCCAAAAAGCAAAGTGCAATGTTCTCTTTATCCAAAAGTCTATTCTACGCGATGCTGTCAACGATCTTAGCCTGCATTTTCTGTCAAAGCTTAAGATCTTGGTTGTCAAGGACATCGAGCGCGATGAGATTGAGTTCATCTGCAAGGTGCGTCAATGTGCCATCTATCATCAGAGTTTACGCTAACACAAAGCAGAGCACTGGTTGCAAGCCTATTGCCGACATTGACTCGTTCACAGAAGACAAACTCGGCTCAGCTGACCTTGTTGAGGAAGTGCAGGCATCAGGTGCTCGGTATGTCAAGGTCTCGGGTGTCAAGTCAGCGGGCAACACCGTGTCGATCGTCTGTCGGGGTGCCAACAATCTCATTCTGGACGAGACGGAGCGATCGCTTCATGACGCACACTGCGCTATCCGTTCATTAGTCAAGAAGAAGGCGCTTCTTGCTGGTGGAGGTGCTCCAGAAATTGAGATTGCACACCAACTCTCCCTCAAGGCTCGTGAACTCACCGGCACTGAAGCTATTTGCTGGAAAGCTTTCGCCGATGCCATGGAGGTTATCCCAACTACACTAGCGGAAAACGCAGGTCTCAACAGCATCAAGGTCGTCACCGAGCTGAGGCATAGACATGCGCAAGATCAAAAGTACGCAGGAATTAGCATCAAGAGCGGAGGCGTCAAGAACGACATTAGCGAAGAGAATGTGCTGCAGCCGCTGTTGGTCAGCACCAGCGCCATTGAGCTGGCAGCCGAGACGGTCAAGATGATTCTCCGAATCGACGACATTGCGCTGTCAAGGTAGAAGAAAATAACAATGACACTGCCGTGATCCGTTGCAGCAAGATGATAATACCACGAGCAATGACAAAAGATGACGCGAGCTCTCTGAAGATCCACCAAGTGGCGTGATGTGACATGTGTGTAAACCTCAGGCAACCCCCTGGTGCATCTATTGCATGAAAAGTCGCAATCAAATGCTGCATGTAAAGAAGCGAGAGAGAGTGGGACTTGCGGGTGGTGGATGTAGTGGATCCGCCACAGCTGTTCTTTGCTGCTGCAAGTTGCCCGAATAGCTCGAGTAGCATGAAAGTGTAATTAGAAGGTACATTGAAGCGAGTCGGATTGCGTCAATTCGCTTGAGTTTTGTTTGTGGGGTTTCCTCTTTCGCTCATGTAATAAGGACCCTGCGTCGGAGTTATCCCAAGTAGTAGATTGCTTGGCCCTTTTGGTTCTACTTCTGTAGACTCCTGCATACTGCAGGCGTATAGCTAGATTCATGTTTATGTATCCGAGGGGGCGAGGTGAATGCGGGTAAAGGTATACTACGGGTAAATATGGGGTTGACTTTTGCCGTAGCAGAAGTGTATGTTGCGTAATTTGTGTGGGTCTTGTAGGATTTAGGATGCTGCGCTTAGAACGGATGTGCTGATCTTCCGGGTCTTGGAAACACTGATAAGTGTTGCGAGGAGTTGTTGTAGTGTGGGTGTGGGTGTATGGCTTTGGGGTAATTTTTCTTGTGATGGTTAGGATGGTAGAGACGGGAAGTTGGTAATTCACGGTTTACGCTACGAAATCGATGTGTTTCGAGGTACGTATGCCTAGCTACTACGCAACACAAGAGCATGTACCAATCCGTGATAAATATTTCAAGATGATCATTTAAATCATAATATCTTTACTTTCGCTTATACACTCTCTCCTCCTAGCCCACGAGCCACCCGTTCTCCCTCCATACATAGTATCTCGCAATGCAAAAAAAGCAATCCCCTAAAAGTCCTACCCGTCCCAGCTCCCCCAACCCAGTAACCTCTACCAAACTCACCAATATCCCCCAACCCAAGCCCACTCTTACCCCCTCTGCCTCTCATCTACCAAGCCCTCTTCTCCCCAACTCCTCACACTACCCCTCCACCACCAACGCTTAGCAAAAAACTAGCACGTTTCATCATGTCTCTCTGCCTCCACACTACTATCAGTAGTGTGCTGACGCAAAGAGAAGAAAAAGATTGGCGGCCACCAACCCACCCACCCAACCAACTCCGCTCTCTCACGCTCTCTCTCTCTCTCTCGCCCCTCTCACTCTGTAACTAATCCACCCTTATCCACCCACCGTTCCATCACCCCCCTCCCCCCCAAAACGACCGGTCCGTCATCCCACCAACGAACCGGCCCGGGTCACCTCAAACTGTAAAGTGTGTGTGTGTGTGTGTGGAAGGGGACGAGGGTCCAAGGTGTTACTACTACCCAAAACCTTAATTCTCTTTCCCCCTCCCCCCCCCTTCCCTCCCTCCATACCCTACCCTTACCCTCTATTTAGTAAGGTAACTAGTAATAGTCCACACAGCATTAATAATAGTAAAGTAGTAGGTGTGTACCATATATCTCGCTCTGCTTTCCTCCGATCCTTTTTCTCCGCGGAGCCGAAGGGAAGGGAAGGGGAGGGAGGGAGGGAGGGAAAAAGTGGCTGAGGGAGTGGGGGAGGCTAGGCGAGTGGCGTGGTCAATCTTTGCGAGTGCCAAGGATATCTTGTGGTTAGGGGTGTGGCGTAGTGTGGAGAGGGGTGGAGATGGGGGAGGGAACTAAGGTGTGTCGTGTGGTGTGTGTTTCTATACTACTATGTGGGTTTTTTTGGAAGGAGTTGCTTAGGATTGGGTGTGGTGCGACGGGGGGAGGTTGGTGAGGATGGTGGAGTGTGAGGAATTGGGGGGGAGAGGTGGAGGCTGCGCTGATGCTGAGGTGAGGAATGTGGTGTTGGTGAAGAGAAAGGGTTTGGGTAATGCGGAAACTTTTTTCCTTTTACTTTTGTCGTCGTAGAATTTGGATTATCGGTGAGAAGTGGGTTTGGTAGAAGGTGTAAAAGTGCACGGGGAATGTAATCGTAGTTACATCCGGTCATATACACGTTGTAGCAAGAGATGGCGAACCGGAAAGCAAGAGAAAAAAACATGGATAACCTTGCTCTACACCACTCTATCTCAAGCGTTGTTAATACAGGGCCGATGGAACCTATATGCTTCACATTTTTTGATCACATGCCTTTCTACACCGGTGAGTCTACGCCAATGTCGCGATTTTGTTTGCTTTTTTTTCTATAGCAAATAGCATGTATCACACTTGCCTCGAATCGGCCAATGTGCCTCAGGCTTTTTGTTATCACGCGTGTGCCGCGCCTTCAGAAGTATAATGACCGTTTTTTCTGCTGACTCGGGATTCATGCGCCCGCCGCCGCCACGCCCGTTCCTAACCGTAATCACAAACATTCCGCTCTTGCATCTTTCTTGTCATCAAATAGAATTTGGACACGACATATGACATGTAAGCATGCTGATGCTGATCGTTGCCCGCGCAGAGGGTAATCACAAGTGCACTGACATGTGTTTGACAACCTTGGCTCCATTTGTAGAAACCAACCCTTGTTATTTATTTCATGCAGTAATCACTTCGTAGACAGAAACACGTGTGTACAAGTACGGATTTATTTTTCGGCTACTTTACTCTGACCAGCTCGTTTAATATGTGGGGATGTGTTTTTGCCGTACTTTAGCTCGAAACACAAAATCCTGGGCCAAATGGGGGGGGGGGGGTTCCGTGTGCCGGTATACCCCTTTAGTTTCGTTCTCTCTCTCTTCCGAACGGCATCGCAATGATCCGTGAAGGGATGACTGACTGCTAGTCATGTGAGAACAAGAAGGGGAAAATCAGTATTTGGAAAAAGAAGGGAGAGAGAGGTAGAGTGTAGTCGAACAGGTGAGATAACCTGGTCTGTTCTGCAAAGGTAGCTTTATTGCCAATAGATACGCTCAAATAAGGGCGAAAAACAAAGTGACAAATACAATGAAGACGCTTTTTGGTGGAAAAAAAAAGGACGGAGGAAGAGTCAGGCTCAGTGTAATAATCCTTACACTGACCTGCCGATCTCAATGGCTGCCGCAAATCATTCTTCGATCAACTTGACTAGCTGAATTGCACAGGAACGAACCTGGCGTGGGGTGGGTTGAAGGGAAAACACCTCGTTCATGCATCTGAATCGTATCGTGCATCGTAGCATATCGTACAAATTCTGGCGCCCAAACCAGTGTATCGAACAAAAAAAGAGAAACAACAAAAACGCCCGCTCAAACGCAGCAGACCTGTTGGTGAAATTAGAACTAAGAAAATAGCAACAGGTTTTTAAAAATAAACCAGAAAAAAAAGAAGGCACGAGGCCCATAAGGGTGACCCGCTTTCGAGTGACTAGCGGATGTAGTTCATCGAGACTTCAAACTGGCGCGCTTCAGCAGGCGGCTGACTAGGTTTCCGCGTGGCTTGGGCTTAACATAGAAGGCGCCTTTGGTGCCAGTCATATCGTCGCTGAAGACAAGATCCTCTAGCGCCAAAGGATCGTCTTTTGGGGGCTTGGGGCTGGATGAGGCGCCTTGCCAGCCATAGAGCTGGTCTTCGTCTGCACGGAGATCCGGGCGGGTCAATGTCATGCGCAGAGTCATCTCCCGGTTTAGTTGGGCGTGTGTTGAGTATACAGGCGATGGCATTGGCGAATCTAGGGACATGTTCCGGTGTGATGTTTGGCGAGAATGTATACGAAAAGACACGCCAGTACTTGAGGGTGTAGCTGGCGATTCCATGTCGGCGACAGAGTCGGCATCTGATTCTAAGTCTTCGTTATCATGACGTTCGTCCTCGAAGAAGGACAATTGCCCGTCTCTGAGAAATGTTTGCATGTCCCGACTGAACTTGCAAGCATGAGTGTCGATTTGTGGCAGGTGGTAGTGCGGTGTAGGTGCAGCAGTGTCGGGTCTTGTTGATGATGGGAAGCCGAATTCTATGGCTTCGTCAAACTTTTGAGGAGAAGCAAGGTACATGCGTAGCTTCTTCCTCGCCTCTGGGTCCTGGTAGTGAGTGGCCTCAGGGTCGAATACAGGAGAAACAGGTGTGTGGACTGGCGTGCGGCCGGTGAGAGAAGAGGATTGTGAGCGTTGGTGGGGGCGAGTGTTGATACCACCAAGGAACGGAGGCCCAAAGGGAGAGGAGGAGGAACCACCACGGACAGGATAAGTGGTGAGGGACATTGTTCTTCTCATGTAGCGGGCGGGGATTTCCTTGGAGGTGAATACAGGAGTAGAGGTGGCCATGGTGTCGAGGTATGAAGGAGTAGTGGAGTGATGCGGGTCGTTTTCCAAGGCCGCAAAGAGGCCGCTCGGTCCGCTCAGTGGGCTTTCTGCTGACGATACTGAACGTGGTCTTAAGGGACGTCCGCGCTCGGCAGTGTATTGACCGGACGGCTGTGAAAAGTCAAAGTGGAAGTCGTCGAAGCGTTGTTGTGCCCACTCGTAGTCTGTGTCGTCGGCAGTGAAGGAATGTTCACGCCAGCCTTGAAGAAGCAACTGTTCGTCGCGCGAAAACAGCTGTTTGCGGACTTTTTCGGGTAGAGAGAAGAAAAACTCAACGTCAGCGAGCGAGATGTCGTGTTCGAGCACAGGCTTTTCGAGTCTGCGTCTGCGGCGTACGGCACCTAGTGATAACGTGGGCCGGTGGAGTCTGGAGGAACTGGCTTGGGAAGAGCGGCCTGATGTAGGCTCGTCCAAGGCCTGCCGTTGGATCTGCAGACGCTCCAGGGACGAAAAGTACTTTCTCCTGGAAGGGGACTAATTAGCGACGACATTCTCATGGGTGTCCCTCATGCTACTGCAAGGTACAGCCATTGATGGTGGGGGGTGGATATCGGTATCTGCACGTGATATATGCGCCCCTATCACACTGGCGGGCCAATGACAAGCGGTTAGTTGCACTTACTGGACCGAATCGGGCAGCGCCTCGAACTCCGCCTGTGGGAGAGGAAGAGTAGTGCTTCTGGGTTTGCTCCTCATGGCGTCGGCTCGAATCGTCGAAATGGGTGATGGCGTTGTCGTCGGTTTGAAGCCAGTGACAAGAGGCACTCAACCAGGGGGTTGTGGTGTTTGTGGATGGCAGGACGAAGGGATGCTCCGAGGCCGCCCTGGGCACGGGGAGGCAAATGTGCCGACTGTGAAGGGTGGTGTGCAAAAGTACTATGTAAGTATTGCCCGTCTGTGTGTATGTATGTATGTATGTATGTATGTATGCACGTATGGTGGGCATTCAATGGCGGGCCGGCAGGGCTATCCGAGGTGGAAACAAGGGCCAGGCTGGTGATGTTGAAGAAAAAGAAAGGAACTATATGGAGTGCAAGAGGGTAGCAGCTGGAGGCTGAGCAGGCCAGAGCAGCAGACAGAGGTCTAGTGAGGCAGCGTGGTTACGACAGATGCACCGGGTGGACGGGAGCATATTGGGTGACGGGATGCCACATGTGCAGCTAAGGCAGCGGTGCAGCGGTGCAGCGGTGCAGCAGCCTCCTGTCCTGTCCTGTCCTGTCCACCAAACCCACAGACACGGACGGACCTTGGTAGAGCCGTAGTGGCAGTGGTTCCTCCGAGAGTCAATCCACAGCCATGAGCGTCTGCAACTCTCTGCTCTCCACCATTGGCCTTCGCTGTTTCAGAGCCGCCGTCTCCACCCTCCGACCGCCAGCGGGTCTTGCGGCGCTCCTAGCGTGCGACACACCGCATGGCCGCTCCTATACCCGGTCCATGGGATCGCGCACCAGCTAGCTCTTGTCCATGGCTCCCGTGTGATGGACGTCGAGAGCACGCGTATTTGCTTCTGGAATATTGCCTGCTGACCGCCCCAGAGTGAGAGCACAACTGCGCTCAAGCACGTCCCGTGCAACGTCCCGGCCATGCGCTGTGCATGTGCAACATGGCCCAAAACAAAGCAGCACAACCCACTCACTCGTCTGGCCGCCGCCTGATTCATTGCCTGCACTAACCCCGTTGCTGATGCTCGCCTTGTGCCGTGCCATGCAATATTTAGCTATCAATGTAAGTAAGTCAAACAAGCAAAAAACAAGCAGTAGAGAAAGTACGGCACTACTAACAAATATCCAACAAAGGAAAGGGTATCTCAAGAGAAGCGTCATCGGCCAACCGCCAGTCTCCAACCGCCAGTCTCCAACCGCCAGTCTGAACATCCTCAGCTCCCCAAGCAATCACCTCCTTCGGCACATACCCCGCCATGCCACCCCCCAAGCACTATAAAGTGGACTTTGCACACTTGTCCTTAGCCTACCCAACAGCCTGCACCCCGCCCTGTTCCGGCCCCAACCACTCCTTACCACATACATACCCACCTCCACCGTGCACATCCCATCTTGTTTGCTTGTCAAAAAAAACCGCCCCCCCCCCTCGTCTGCAGGCAACTGCCCGTCGCTCTCCTCGTCAAGCTCCTGCAATATCATCTACACGTGATGCGTCAGCACAAGGTCCACCTGCCTCAACTACACCCGCACCAAAAACACTTACAGTAATACTCGTCATCCAGCCCTTCGCGGCTTGGCAGCACTGGTTCGTCCAGCCCTACATCCTCGTACCGCACGTTTAGCAGCCGAATCTTGAGCCCGTAACCGCCGATAAATGTTACAAGCTTGTTGGTATTCGCCGTAATCGGCTGTTGGTTGAGAAGCATCAGCAGCCCATCAAGCCACTCGGAAGCAAGCGTGTGGCTTTGAGGGTGCAGATGCAACAGTACGCTTTCTTTGCGTCCTGCACCCGACCCACTCGACGTCTGCCGCGCATGATTGGATAGAGCCATGTACCCGTGGATCGTGATTTTGGTCGATGTCGACGCCCGCTCATGCCCTGGCAGCGTCCTCACCGTACTGTCAGACGATGCTGTCGATGGGGCCGAGGCCGAGACATTGCTCACTACTGATGAGACAATGGACAAATCAACTGTTGATTTCTGTGTCAGCTACGACGAAAATGCAAACCGGCCACTGGGATGCACCTAGTGGAGCGCGTAGTACTTACTCTTTTCCTGCAGGGCATCTAATTTCGGCTCGGCCGCCGTCTTTTCGTTAAAGTCAGCGTAGTGCAGGTATCGCCGGTTGTGTGACAGTCGAACAAAGCGCCACGACGAAGGCACTGCACGGTTGCCAGCTACTGGGCCGGTGTTTGTACCAAAGTCTGCTCCCATTGGGAACCATGCACCTTGAAGCAAGCATCTTATACGTTGCTCCTTGACAAACTGCAGCGCCTCGTGATTGAGCTCGTCGCGAACTTGGCTGTCGAGTGTTAGCTTGGCACGGCATACAATAGGCAAACTGCATACCGCAGGTGATGGCCCCATGCATCTTCATACGTCAGTTCCAGCACCTCCATCTGCAATTCTCGCAGCCGCTTGAGCTCAAACTCTGCTAGCTCCTCTTCAATCTCCTTGACATCTTTCATTCGTGGTGCCTGCCCAACCACCTGCTCAATCAAGATGCGAATCAGTTCCTCAATCTTTTCAAAGTCTTCAATCTGCGCTCCTGCTGCTTTCCACAGTCGGATGAAGGCATTTAGACCACTCGTGTGTAACCTAGACCAATGCAACAACAGCGGCTTGAATGCTCGGTCAAAGTTGGCCCGCGAGTCGGTATGGCGAAGAGCCTCAACGTCATCCAATTTATCCACTTCAAAATGCTCATATAGTGTTTGCGTGACCGAAAGACTTGCCCGCGCAATCGGACACCGTTGCTCGGCTGGCTCGGCTGACTGCTCCAGTAAAAGTTTCTGAAAGCCATCTTCGTTTTTATAAACAAAGTCAGTAATGTCCATAAGCCCCAAGAATCCAGTCCCGTTGAACTCCCACGCCGGTGACTCTGTCTCGAAACCCAGCCGGCTCCATTTTTCCGGATGATGCTTCTTGCTTCCTTTTGGATCAGACGATGACCTGTCTGGTTGACTCGCAGTGTGTAGGCCCCTAATAGCCCTTCGATGGTCGGGATTTTCCAGGTCCACCTTTTCTTCCCTCCAATTCCTCAGCAACGTCTTAGTCAGTGTCTGAAAGTCCAACAATGGGTGAGCCAGGTCTTGTATTGCGGTGCTTTGCATGAGCCCATACACGCTCTTGATCACGCCCAGCTCCTGGAGCTGCTTTATAAACTTGGGCCATTCGAACGCGGCATCGTTTGCAATGGCATCGCGCATCAACGCATTGATTAGCTGGAGGGAATTTGCACAGAGCGCATGGTCGGCCGATGTGATTTTCTCAACCAAGGATGACAAGAACTGGGGCTGGGCATCGACGGCTGGCTTGAGGCGCTGGAAGCCTGTGGTGCCTGTGTGCGAGCTTCGGTGTGAGGGATGACCAACGATTACGGCGAGGACTGACATGGCACCTCGGTTGACGTTAACAAGCGGTTGTGCGACGACGAGGTCGACTATCTATTATGCACTGGTTAGATGTACTCACGCACAACAGTCTCTCTCCTCTCTTGACTTACTCTTGCAATTAAATCATCCGTGACATGGTCCCATCCTTTGTCTAGCTCGAGCAGACGGGCCAGAGAGGTGAGACAATAGGCCAGTGTGTTTCCAGTCGAGTGCAGGGCCAGGAAGCGCAGCTTGGGCAGGCCCCCTTCGTAGATGAAGACATCAGCGAATGAAGGGTCGCCGATGGCATTCTGGAGTTTGAAGACGGCCATTTTGCGCACCGACTCCTCCTCCGCGCCGAGGCGGGCGACCAATTCAGAGACATTGACGCTGTCCATTTTCTCCAGCTTTCAGCGTGCAGGGGGTATCACAGTGTGGGGTATGTGGGTGGTAGTAGTGCTGCGGATGGCGATGTCATGCCAATCACGCGCAAGCGGCGAACATGACACAGACGCAAGAGTGCCAGGGCCGGGGATATGTACAGGCGCTGGTTGTGCGCAAGTACTGCTGTCGTCGCTGTTCTCGTTGCCGTCGCCCGTCGCGTGTCGAGAGGAGCGTGAAGGGAGAGACTTGGCAGCACGTGAAGCGCGTCGTGGGGGTCAAGTCAGCCGGTCCCCTGTCGGATGCCTGATTCGGCCGCTAGTCAGGTACGCCGAGCATGTGCCTTGTTTCTAGGCCCGACAACAGCCCGTCCGTCCTCTCTCGTCGCTGTTGCCGTCGTCGACTTCGTATTCAACAACGTTGGGCCCAACCATCAGTTGCTCTCTTCCTCCTTGCGACCCACATTTCACACCCTGTCTGCAGCCGCTGCCTTGCCCGACACGTGTAGTGCTGTACTGGTACCAGTGTCCCTTGGTCGCATCATCGCACGTTCCACCTCTTTTCGCCTTCAAGACCACCAGTACTCCTTCACCTCACAACCACCACCACCACAACAACAACCGCCACAATCGCCATCATGGTATACATTACCTCCGACCTCTTCGGCCCCAGCACCGCACGTGATTGGCAACAAGACAATACATCTCACAATTGGCATACCATGGCCCCCGACCAGCCCGCCGCCGGTCTTGGCAAGAGAAAGCGACAAGCAGGCGACGACAAACCACAACTATACGAACGCCCGTGTACCTCACTTCACACATCTGGCACCGACATCTCCCCAAAGACCATCCCACGTCACCACCGCTCCTCCCTAAGCCGCGACACCACCCGCCTCCACCACCCCAATACCCCGCCATTCGACTCCAACAACAACACCCTCTCCTATGCCTTCCTCCCCTCAAAAGCCCACGACTTCCCGTCCGACCGCCGCCCCGTCAAACAACTCAAACGCTTCAGTCCAAAAGCCTCCCTCGTAAAATCAACCTCGCACCTCATGGATATCGATCTCGACGTTCAATCTCCTACTACTACTACTACTACTACTACTACTACTACTACTACTACTAC